GTCTTCGCCCTTCAGGATTGCCCTTGCTGCTCGACTGGCGCAGCAACAGCCCGGCATGGTTGTTCTGCTGGAGCGCAGGCACCAGAGCGTCCCAGCGACGAGGCTCATTGGCTGCAGTGACTTCCACCAGGCGTGCCGTGGGCGTGGCCTTTGTTGTGCGCCACACCTTGCCGTGAGACCGCCTTGAGAGGCAATACTTCCTGGTACCATCCGGGTCCCTTGTCAACACATTGATGCAGATAGCCGCCCATCCATTCCTCCCAATGACGGTGTGAGTCTGCGACGCACCCTCTGCTCCAAAAAGGACACGTCCCTCACCACAGCAGAGATCGAGTTCGCCCTGTCGGCACGCATCACATTGTCAAAGGAGCAGGAGTACGTCAGGCTGGCATCAAAGCACCCGCCAGCGCAACACATCATCACAAGCAGAAGCAACAGCAGCGCTGGTGGCTGCGGGGTGACGTGGATCAACTGACGCATGGCACGCGTATAGAAAACCTGGTGGCTTGACAGGAATAAAAGAGGGTGACACTTTTGAAACAATGAAACAATATGAGAATATAAGAAGATTAAAGTGCCCTGGCTCAGCCGGCCACCTCAACGTGGTGCCAGGGTCTAGTACTCTTTGCTAGAGAGGAAGCTAAGCGCCTGCTGCCCATCCGCTGCCCGCGGAGAGGCAGGAGGCGCCGCACAAACGGGTCGGAAGGGCACCGGATGGAGCCATTTACATGGCTGCCCGCGGAGCGGTATTTCTATCCGCTGCTGAATTCCATCGGCGCTTATCAGCGCTATACATACCGTTTGCGTGCCGTATGTGACGCGCAACGACAAAAGCTACTGCTAAGCGGGGACATTGAGCAGAACCCAGGCCCCATAGCAGTACTCCAGATGAACGTTTCTTGCCTCACGCCGTCAAAACTCGCTACATTAATGGCGCAAGGAGCAGACATAATAGCCATTCAGGAGACTTGGAAGTCGTCAGAGCAGATCGCCAGCATGCACACTGGAGAGTATGTGCTCTATGCACAGTCGCGCATCGGCAAGGGAGGCGGTGTGGCGGTGCTGGTGCGGAAAACTCTCCGCTCCAAGCGTATACCTCTCACCATCCCCCAGCATGACACCAGCCTTGAAGTGGTGGTGGTCCGGGTTGCTCTGGACCAGAACCGTGATCTTATTGTAGCGAGTGCCTATGTGAGACCACCACCGCAAGTAACGCAATCCTTCAGGCGGTTAGTAAACTGCCTTCCAGCCTCGTCGCCGCTCCTGCTGTGCGGGGATTTCAACATGCATCACCCACAGTGGGAGCCATTCTTGGAGACTTCTCCAAGTGAGGTTGCTGCAGAATTTTTAGAACTGTGCACGGATGCGGGACTCACCTTGGTTAACACCCCTGGTGAGATCACGTATGCCCGTGGCACAAGAGAACGATCCTGTATCGATCTGACATGGTCAAAGCATTTGACTGTGTCGGATTGGTCAGCTTCCGTGTCGCCGCTTAGAAATCATTATATGCTGACATTTACGCTGCATCAGGCATTTAAGGATACCATACCTTCGGCAC